GGGCGAAGCGGCGGGGCACGGAGGATGCTGCCCGGTCAAATTTGGGGAAAAGGAGGAGCCCGAAGCTTCCTTGGGCGGAGATAATCCTGCCCCGGGGATGCGTTTTGGGGATTTGTTCCCCCAGCGGTGAGTTGGCCTCGGCCGGGGGGGCAGAGCATCCTCTCCGCATCGCGCTGCGACGCCCCATCCTTGCGGCCACCCCTCCTCTCTTCTCCCCTTCTTTCCTCCCTCCTCCTCCTCTCCCTTCCTCTCCCCTCCTTCCCTCTCCCCTCCCGCCGGCACTAATGCTGAACGCCTGCGGGAGGTCACGTGCCCGCTCTCCTCACCAGGAGCAGAGTTTCACCCTCAGCATCCCGGTTTGTGTCCCCAGCATCTCTGCCTCTCATCCCAGCAACCTGCATCTTCTGCCGGACACGAAGCTGCACAAAGCGCCTTCCCTTTTTTAGGACTGTTTCCAGTTAAGATAGGCCCCCAAGTTAAGTTTGTTGCAACCTCTTCCCCCTAAACAAACCAAAACATCTTAGTTCCTCATTCCATTTGTGTCTCACTTATAGTGACTTACTATGTCTTACTATGACTAAAGACAGTGTTGATTCAATATTATTCGTATTATTTTTTTACAAATGAACCTTTTTTTTTCTTTTTTGGTCAGCTTTAATTTTTCCTCACTGTCATTGTCACCCTGGAAATTGTTCTTGAGGACCAGAAACAGAAATTAGTTGGCTCCCCTTAGTTGGGAGCCAGGGTTTGAGCAGAGGTGAAATGGAATATTTTGCATCCATTGCACAAGAAAAGAGAAATAACTTCCAGCATGGAAGGCATGTGAAATTACCAAAAAAAACCCACCAACCCAGCCCTAAAAATATGTATGGTTTTGTGGAACACAGGTTTTAGTGAGACTGATTTGAAAACACGCCATCTTATGTCCATGGAGAATTGTTTCATAAGTTCTACCACAGCAATTTTAGAAAATTTATTAAATCATAATCAGCAGTCATACTCACTGGCAGGGGAGTTGTGGCAGAACACTTCAGGTTTTAAAAGCAGATTTTCATTGCTTCAATTTTAGTCTCAGAAAGTTAAAACATTTTTTGATTGCTGATCACTTTTTGGAAATACATAGTAGAAAATTACATATAGCAATACCCATGCTGTTATAAATACTACAGATGTTAATAGCATTATAGCACAAGCATAGTAAAGGTGTTTTTAACATAAAAGCACTGTCATAAAATAATTCACTTTGTACACCAGGGAGGCTACACTGACTAGTGAATTTACCGCATCTTTTCCTGTCTGTAACAGCTAGCAATAGCAGCCCTGCTGTCAAAGATTAGAGTTCAGTGTCAAATTCACTTTGAATATAAACAAGATTTGACTGTTTAACTCCTCATACTTTGAAAATCAGAGCTGTTAGCTACGCCCAGCTAAATGCACCTCGACCTGTGCTCCTGTCCAATATGCTATTTGAGTTTGAATTCTTTATATTTTTAATAGATTCACAAATTACTCAGTCACAGGAATCATTAGAGAACTGCAGGTTTGTTGGGTGATACTTTCTACTTGGAGACAAGGCAAAAACAAGTAACATATTTTTGCTTGTATTCCTTTATTGAAATCTTTAAGACGTTGACTTACAAGTATTATATCTCATGCTTGTAGCTCTTAAGAATCTGAATCACAGGCCAGGATTTCCTTGGGCTGCAAAATGTACAGGCATTAGACAAAAAAATGGCATCCCCTTCTCCACTTCCTCTTATTCTATAATACTTAAAGAAATTGCTAGTGCACTAGAGTATTAGCAGACAGTACAGAGAGAATAAAGGTAGAAAGGGGTTATGAACACATACTAAGATTTTTTCTTAAGCCTTATACCAGGCTTTTACTAAGAGTTTTCCCACATGACATAGCCCTGCTTTTTCAAGTGACATTCTCAGAATTTAATTATAAAATCTGTGTTTTAATTCTTAACAACTGGCCTGACTGAATCAACCCCTCTTGCATTCATTTCATGATTCATTGTTGACTTTATTGCCATAATCCCAAGGAATTCCATTGAAGGTCCAAGATCCCAAAGCAGAGGTCTGTGTATAAACCTAGAGCAAAAAAAAACAAGTCTTACTCCAAAGGGATAAGATTCTAAATAAGATGAGAGAACAGACAGGTATAGAGAGAGATTAGCAGATGAAAGGTCAAGGAAATAATAATGCCAAAGTGTGCATATAACATGTTGGCCCATTACCTTTAAAGACATCTCAAATGAATTAAAATCTCATTCAGTACTGCAATTAGAAATCACCAAGGTAATTATGTGTGACAGGATGTGATTTTGCACTCATTACTTACGGACAGTCTTTGACACCTGATCACCTGAACCGTGTCAGTAAATCTTTGCATAAGTATGTGGCCCAAATTCACATTTGTGCATGACAAACAAGTAGCTGCATGTATAAATTCCTTAACACCTTCTTGATTCCACAAGAACAATTTTCAAGTGCACAGGAAAGTCCAAGTTTCAATTGGACGAGAAAAAAAAAAAAAAGGATTAATAGGGATTGTGATAATGTTCAGCAATGCATTGATTTATTCTGGGTGATCGTGGTGTCTCAAGGAAAAGGATTTTCATGATAAAGTAAAATTCTGTAGCTCTGTAAAAGAAACTGACTTGTTTCCCTTCAAATGAACCCAGTCAAATGGTTGCAGGGAGCGGCAGAGCAGAAAGGAATGAAACAAGTTCAGCAAGTTAAACTATCAGGTATTTCACATCTTCCTTCAAGACAGTCCTGTCACTAAACCCACAGTGATTAAGAACTGAGGCCCATTCCACTTGTCTGTTGACTTCCACGTTTTTAACCTGCAGGCGCTGGAGCATGTCAATGCCCGGCTCCTTGAGCTGTACCCTGATGATGAAGAACGATTTGATATTGTTCTGATGACTAATAACCATGCCCAAGTAGGGGTGAGACTCATAAACAGCATCAATCACTATGGTAAGTAAAATAAATACTACCTGTAGAACTGCCTGCTGTTACATAATAAAATGAATTCATTCTATTTTTCCGGTTCTAAACTTGGTAAAAGCAGCTTCTGTGATATTGACACCAGTTCCTCAGATAATTATATTTATTTTGGGGTGTCAGCATAAGTGAGATAGTGTTAAATGGAATTTGGTCCAAAGCTCTAGGTTTAACTTGTCAGGTGTGAATCATAATTTCAGGAAAAAAAAAAAAAGAAAAAAAAAAAGTCCTTAAACTTTTTGTTCTCTGGTATTTATGCCCCCTCGACATACACATTCACAGCAGTTATTCTGCTGTCTTAGAGGGATTTTGTGTTAAATTCTCAAGGATCAAACATTGTAGTCAGTTTAAGTTGTCTGACTTGATGGAGTTACAGTGAGAAGGCTTTTCTTTTTTAAGTTCATAGTGGGTTGTGGGCTGGTGTACCTTTTTATGGCTTCCTTTTACAGGTTTGTAGCGTCAAGGCAGAGTCACACCTCGTTGTGCTGTTCTTACTTTAGGTTTAACAATTGAACGTTTCTGTATGACGGGAGGAAAAAGCCCTATTGGTTACCTGAAAGCATACCTTACGAACTTGTACCTCTCGGCAGACTCTGAAAAAGTGCAAGAAGCCATAGAAGCAGGTTTGAATTGACTTTCTTTTGTTATCTCTCTCTTAAGCTTGTTAAAAAAGTAACGTGCTGTGTGTCTTTCACAGCACATTTCATCAAATGCAGAAAGTCACAACTGGTATATGGTGCAAACATCACTGTTTTTAACTTAATTAAATAAAATCAGGTTATTTATCTGTATTTTTTTCTCTCTGGCCCTTCAGCCTGCCGATAATGACAATTTAATCAGCCTCTGCCTTTGTTGTACCTTTCTGTGTTCTCCCATGCTATGAGAAATCAATTCCCATACACAGCTACCCATTTCTGTTCAAATTCTGTTTTGATAAGAGTCATATCTTTGATATGACTTATATGGCTTCAATGGTCTCCTTGGAATTTTCACCTTTGTCTCATTTGCTGCGCACCTTGGGGACCAGTTCTGTATATTCTTACATGGAAGTGGAAAGAAGCATGTCTAAGAAGTTATGTCAATGGGACAGCTTCCATCCTTTTTGTGTTAAAGAACATCCATTACTAATGGGCTTTAGTGATTGTTTGTGCTCACCGTATGGAAAGGTTACCACAAATGAGTTGGCAGTTTGATGAATGACTTTGTGGGACACACTAACCGAGGTTCTCTGATCCATTTTCAGGCATCGCGTCGGCTACGATGTTCACTGCCAACAAAGACGTCGCTTACTCGGACACACAGCTGAGGGTGGCATTCGATGGGGATGCTGTTCTCTTTTCTGACGAATCAGAGCAGATTGTTAAAGAGCAAGGATTAGACAGATTTTTTGAACATGAACAGCTAAATGAAAATAAGCCTCTTGCACAGGTTTGTACTTCCTGAATCACTGAGTTTACAAAACCTGGGTTGATTTTAATTGCTGATGTATTTCTTCAGTTTCCCCTGTGTATGTATTGTTCTTTGTGGAAGCCGACTGCCCTATTTATTTCCTTTTTCAAGGATAATCTTTAAAATGCATATTTGACACAAAAGACCCCACCACTGGAGTCCTTTCACCAGATCTCCCACTTCACTGAGAGAACTGCGTATGTGAGACAGTGATTTACAGTTTTATTTTAATTGTATCATTAGAAAAAGAAAAGGCTGCAACTGATTTCCTTGAGTATTTTTTTTTATCAGAGCAAAGTGTTTTTAATGAACATTTTATTAAAATTAAAGACCATAGTTATAAGTTTATAAGAGATCTTGTAAGCTTCAGTGAGAAGCAGTGTCCTACGGCTCATACCATGCAGGATTATGGTTTAAACTATTTTCCAATTTGTGAATTCCTAGTGGGGGGGCAGACACATTACACAGAGAATTTGCTGAACAGCATAGCATTAGGGAAGGAATCTTGTCTGTAACTGACAACAAACTGGAATAAAGCCAAATAATGGTGTTGGGAGCTGTGGACAAACACTAACTATGCTTCTGGTATTTCATACTCAGGGTCCTTTGAAAGGTTTTCTGGAAGACCTAGGGAAACTCCAGAAGAAGTTCTATGCAAAAAACGAACGATTAAATTGTCCTATAAGGACCTTCCTGGTCACAGCCAGAAGTGCGGCAAGCTCTGGAGCCAGAGTGCTGAAGACTCTTCGTAGCTGGGGTCTGGAGATCGATGAGGCGCTTTTCCTAGCAGGAGCTCCTAAAGGACCAATCCTGGTGAAAATTCGCCCTCACATCTTCTTTGATGACCAGATGTTTCACATCGAAGGAGCACAGAAATTAGGCACCATAGCTGCACACGTGCCCTACGGCGTTGCTCAGAAATACCACAAATCTGCATGACTGGATGGCACCACTAACGATAAGGTTCTTAAGTCAGCCAGCCTCTAATATACCAATAGTTATGTCTGAAAACCTCTACATTTGTTTATTGTAAGCACTATGTTTAAAGATTTAACTTCTGGCTAGTACAGCCTTTAATGGAAATATTTTTAATATAGGTAAGTTTTTCATAGAGTTATTTTAATAGTATTTTTAAGCAGTCTAGGTTTTTTACCCATCTGGATCTAACACTGTGTTTGATATTATGAAAAGATTTGTACTGTTTTTATGGCTTGAGACATATTTTGAGAGACAGAGAGAACAGTTATATTTTCTCTAAAAAACTGTTGACGGGTTATTTATAACAAAAATCATGCTGCAATGCTAGTCCTTGACAGTTATTTCTGAAATTACCGAAAGCACAGTTTACATATAAGTGTTAACCTCTTGGTGGTTTGCTTGTTAAGTTCAGTAGGTTTGTTGTCACAAGGTTTTAGCTTCCAGTGAAACGTTAGCTTATTTGATCTTGTGTTTACAGGAACCCTTTATTTTTCTATATTGTTTTCCTATTCTAATAAAGCTGGCTTTACAGAACATTGTCATTTTTCTATGTAGAGGTTTTAGCAAAATGTCCTTTGCAGTTTGTGTAATCACCTCCTTTGATGTTTAGAACCAGAAGCGACCACTTTCAGCCAAATTTGAGAGGGAGTTAGAAGTCTGAAATACACTTAAGTCCTAACAGATTTCATACAGCTGGGTGGAAGTCAGAGGTGGCATGAGTATCTTGACTGGGACAAAGACTGAAGCTTTAGAACATACCTTTGTAACAGCAGAGAATCTACTCTAAATAATGCTGATGACAGAACTCCTTGTTTCTTGACTGGGTTCTCTTAGGGTTTACAGCTGTTCTGGGATCTGCATGAACTCAGTTTGGCAACCTCGCATGAGTTTCCAGGGGAGAGGTGCCTGTTGCAACATTAATTCATGTAAATTTACACCGTAGGTCTATTCTACCTCTTTTATGCTCAGTTCCTGTATCTCAGTGTCATCCATGTGTCCGAGTGCCTTCCAAAAGACACAACTAACATCTGTCAGGTGGTGTTTGTTCTCTTTCTCTCCCTAGTGGAACAAGTGTCCTGTTTTATTTTTAGTGTTGCTATGTATTTGTACCAGAGGAGACAAAACCAAAAGAATGTGCTTTGCCGTGGGAGTAGAAGTTGGTGAAGGCTCGTGATGATCTGTGGTTCCTGGGGGAATTCACTCCAGAATCTCACGTTAGCCTCTGAGAAAGTTTTGTCTCTTCTGTCCAGATGAACTGTCCTGTTATTGCAGAAAGCTTCGTTGAATTAATTGTGGTTTCCCTCACAGAAATACAGGCAATCTTTTAAGTGTTCTGGGTCCAAGCCACAAGGTTCTTTGAAAACAAAAGCAAAAACCTTAATCCTTCATGAAATTCGAATACAGGCCCTTAGAAAGGTTTTTATGTGTTCACACCAGCATGTGTTGTTGATGGGATGCACTGCAGAGTTGTGGTGTACTTGGACTTTCGTAAGCGCTAAAGGCTTTGTGCCCAAAACGTATCACATTCCCTAGCCCAGCCAGGAGGTGAGGAAGACATGAATAACTGAGGCCTGGTCATTGTCTGCCAGGATGGGATCGAGCTACCTCGCCAAACAGAGATTATAAAAAATGTTATTAGCAGATGTTTTTATGTGGGAGCTCATAATCGGCAAGGAATCCAAAAATATTCTTTGGCTGTGGAGTATAAATTGCGTGTGTACCTTCACCACAAAAGCACATTTCAGGAACACCAGTCGGTCCTGCCTTGAAGCAGAACATGGAGCAGACATTTTTGGTCCATGTGCTGTTAGAGCTATAGACGTTGGGTGGAGAAAAACAGGAAGGATGTACACTGTGCAAGGATTTCTGGCACCTGCCTCTCGTTGAACCGAGTAATTCAAGTTTGATAGTGAAAAGGGCTAATGGGATCCTTGATCCCTGTGGGACTCTGAAGGTGAATTTCTCATGCCTGACAGGGTAAGCATGTAAATCAGTGAACAAATTGGAAACTGAGTCATCTGCTCTATTATGTTTACATTTATTTCCAATCAACCATCTATCCTACAGCAAAAATGAAACCTGCTGGCCAGGATATAGTTAGAAGCTTCCAGTTCTTACATCTTTTTTATATCTGTACCCAGAGCGACAGACCTTTTGCAGTGTCATTCCCGACAGCAGCACTAAGGCATGGGTGAAGAGAAATAGAGTTCACAAACTAAATTTACACAGTGGGTTTCTTACAGAATTCAAATCAACATTACATTTCAGAACTTAAGATCCACAATCACTTCTCTTAAATCAGTTGAGCAAAACACCCTTAGATGTTTCTTCAGATTATATACTGCCTTTTAATTGTGAGGCAACTGTCCCAGGTTTGATGGCTGCTTCTCCACATATCCATCTGGCAGCACATTGGGTGCGTGGAGCCTCATTTGTTCAAGCAAGTGCCCTTCCAAACTAATCTGGATGTTTGGGGAGACTCGGGCTTGCCAAGTAGTCTCTGCATATTATAATTATTGTTTTCTGCTCCAAGGCACAGATTGGCTAGCAGACCAAAATAATAATTTTCAAGAAAATTCTCTGAAATGGGATGGGAGCTGAGGGAAAGGGTTTCTATTTTTGTAGACATAGGCCAGAATTGTCTCTTAATAGCATTCCAGTCCACAAAACAAAACCAACAAGCAAATAACAAACAAAACCAACCCCCCCCTTGCTTCTCATGAGGATACTGTGAATTTACGCTCTAGCACCTCATAATCCTAAACCAGCCACAGTTACAAGAACAGATAACATTTTTCTATAAGGGGAATAGAGAAGAGTCCTATGGTTCTGGACTGTCCTGTCCATCAGCCTGTTGATAACACTGGAAGAGAGACTCATGAAAAAGAAACTGTCATCCCAGCCAAAGCCTGGAAGAGAATTAATGATAACACAGATTGAATTTTGTGCTGAAACGAGAGCCTTGTCAGGAAAAGCCAGTCCTTGTTGCCTTAGCTTCCAGGTTTGTGCACCACATCCCAGGGAAGCGTCCAGGTAAGACAAATGGGAATGACTCCTACTGCTACCAATCTGCATGGACAAAAATAATGGAAATAAGATCCTGATGGTAACTTGACTATTGCTTATTTTATTTTTTTTACAGGAGAACTTATCCTCAGAGTGCATTGGATACCTCTCACTGTCTACCAAGACATGACGAACCCATGTTCCTCAGTTCCTTTGCACCTCCAGGACATCCTTCAGTTTCCAGGCAAGCATGTCATGCATAGGGAAACAACCATGTGGAGGAAACAAAATAGTTCAGATGAAGATTTGAAGGTGGTCATCATCACAGGTGTTCCAACCTGTCCTTTGGTGTTCCTGGGCTGTGATCCTGTTCTCAGGATTCAGAGGGCTCCTACGGAGAAGTATCCTGAGGTACACCCCCATGGGCTTCTCTGCCCCTTTCTCACGGTCCTTGGCTGCAGAGTCATTAGGCAGCAGAGCTAGGCATAGCTCCAATACTTCCCAAAGATATGATCAGAGTATATGGAAGAACACCTCAAACTGGTTATGGCTCTTATATCTGGTTAAGGATGCCAAAAGCCATCTCTGTCACAAGGAGACAGATATCTTGCCACCCTCTGGTGTAGCTATGAGTCTCACAATGGAGTGAAGACCCAACAACGAAGAGAGAAAGACTTTTCTGTGGTGAAGACAAAGACAGAAGAGGTCTCTCAGCAAATCCAATGTGTTCAGAAGTGGTACCTATACAGTTCTTAAACTGCCTGAGAAGTATGACAGATAGAGGAGAGGTGGTAAGGATACTTCCAGAGAAGTCTGATACATTTCTTCAGCTATAACATGAGCTGAAGTCAGCCTCAGAACAGACTGCAGCAATGTAAACAGACTGTGGGTAGTATCAACATGTGACAGTTAAGAGGAGGTTACTATTGCAAAGGGTTATCACATCCAGACCAACCACGAGAGGCCTGACGAAAGGTTCATGGGTTTCCTCTTGGGTTTCTTGCTCATTTCCTCAAACATGCTAGGTCTTGACTCAAGACAGACATGCTCATTATCAGCCAAGCTTGTTTCTGGTCTCCCCAGCAGACTGTTGTCGCCCTGGACTCTGCTCACCTACGTGCTGGCCCCTAATCCTGGTAATGAAATATTATAGGTGCCCTTAATGTCTGTTTTCCCTGTGACAGAGTCACCTCTGAGACTGATAAATGTTAATACAGCATTTTGTAAAATCTCTGCTAGCAAACTAAATGCTACCAGGTAATGCTCTTGGGCCCTAGAACTGGACCATCTCTATGGCATTAAATTATTATCATTGTCTTTTAATTCTAAAATTGTTAGGACAGTCCACAGTATGTTTTTGGCCCAGGCCAGCTAGCTCTCTCCCAGACAATACCCACCCATGTCTCAGGAGTCAGCATGGGACGAAAACCAAGAACCAGCTTGGATGTGTCAGGGTTTAAAAGGCTGTTCTGTGCCAGTTCGCTTCATCCACTGCCAGGGTTGCCATTGGATGTTTTAATTAGACTGCAGACTCATTAGGTAGGATCCAGCAGAGGGCCACGGGGATGATCAGAGGGCTGGAGCACCTGCTATGAGGATGGCCTGGAGAAGGCTCCAGGGAGACCTTGTTGCAGCCTTCCAATACTTAAAGGGGTCCTACAGGGTGGATGGGGAGGGACTCTTTATCAGGGAATGGAAGGATAGTCCATTGGATGTTTTAATTAGACTGCAGACTCATTAGGTAGGATCCAGCAGAGGGCCACGGGGATGATCAGAGGGCTGGAGCACCTGCTATGAGGATGGCCTGGAGAAGGCTCCAGGGAGACCTTGTTGCAGCCTTCCAATACTTAAAGGGGTCCTACAGGGTGGATGGGGAGGGACTCTTTATCAGGGAATGGAAGGATAGTACAAGGGGGAACAGTTTTAAACTGAAAGAGGGGATATTTAGGTTAGATACTAGCTGTGAGGGTGGTGAGGCACTAGAACAGGTTGCCCAGTGAAGCTGTGGGTGCCCCATCCCTGGAAGTGTTCAAGGCCAGGCTGGATGGGGCTTTGAGCAACCTGCTCTAGTGTGAGGTGTCCCTGCCCAGGGCAGGGGGTTGGAACTCGACGATCTTTAAGGTCCCTACCAACCCGAACCGTTCTACGGTTCCGTGATTCTATGACTAAACACCTCTTGGGGCCGGCCTCCCCTGTGCGGCGCCGGACTACACTCCCCACAATGCCCCGCGCCGCTCCCGGCCAATCCTAACGCACCCCGCGTGCGGGCCGGCCGGCGGGCGGCCAGGCGGGGGCGGCCACTTCGGGCGGAGCGTCGCTCGGCCCGGCGGCATGGCGGCGACGGCCACGGCGCTGGCGCTGGGCGGTGGGCTCCTCCTGGCTGCCTGGCGCTGGTTGCGGGGCGCGGCCCGGGCCGCCGTGGCCGGGGCCGGGGCCGGGGCCTCCATGCGGGGCAAGACGGTGATCATCACGGGGGCCAACAGCGGGCTGGGCCGGGCGGCGGCGGCCGAGCTGCTGCGGATGCAGGCCCGCGTTATCATGGGCTGCCGCGACCGGGCGCGGGCCGAGAGGGCGGCCCGGGAGATCCGGGCCGAGCTGGGCGAGCGGGGCGAGGCGGAGGAGGGCGGCGGCGAGCTGGTGGTCCGTGAGCTGGACCTGGCCTCGCTCCGCTCCGTCCGCGCCTTCTGCCACCGCGTCCTCCAGGTACGGCCGGGGGGAGGGGGTGCTGCGGGGCGCCCGGGCCCGTCGGGCCTTGCCGGGCCTACCGAGTGGTGCGGGGCGGCATTGGCCTGCCAGGGGGAACCGGGCTCCCTCCCTGGGACAGAACACGGGGCCGGTGGTGGCAGCGGGGGGTCCTCGGGGATCCCCGTTTACAGGGCTTATTCCTGCTGCCCGCAGCCCGGCCTGGGGGTACGGGGTGCTGCTGAGCTCACCCCGGGGTGGGGAAGGAGGAGGGTGTCAGTAAATTAGCTCCTGGAATTATAAAGTTCATACTAGTTTGGTCTGGTTTAGTCCAAACTATTCTAATCCTTTGCTGTTACAAAAAGAAAGGACTTACTTCTGTATACGATAAAATGTTTTATCTTCTTTTCACTCTTAATTAACTCTGCCTTGACCTGCCTTTATTGCTTTAAATTGGTGTTACAGGTCAGCTTTATCCCCAGGGAAATTAAAGTTCACAAGTGCACTCACTGGTCACAGGCCCAACCATCCTTCTGCCACCTCCTCAGACCCCCTCCCATCTCTTGGCCAGTGCTAGCTGAGTTTAGTAGAAAAAACATTTTTGAATATATAAGCTTACTGCAGATTTCCTCCTGAAAACCTGAGTTTAAGGAGAACAGGAAGATCCAGTTGATTCATCTGACAGAAATGCCACTAGGTGAGTTCATTAGTATTATTATACACCAGGGAGCAGAGGGAGGCACCATGAAAGGTGGGAACATACTCTATTCCCATGAAAGTTGTCATTTGGGATGCTCATCTCACCCCATCGAGCTACTCAAGCCCTGAGACACAAAGTCATGGGAAGCCAGGCTTAGTAAGTTCTGCTGCTGCTCAGAGAAGTGTCTGTTAAGTACTTGAAAGATGCTGAGATGCTGTTGTGAGATGGAAAAATAAAAAGGAAGGGACTTAGCATTAATTTTCAAATAGATTTTCTAAAAATTGTCTGGAAAGTCAAGTTTTAAGCTCACTAGTGGGGCTCTTTGTAGTCATATACATTCATACATAGGAATCCGGTGACAAGATCTAATCTTGCTTCAGTGTTCTGGGGAAATATGCATGTGCAAAAGGATATAAAACGTGCATAATAAACACACACCCCCCCCCAGACTTCTAAGAATTCTCTTTTTTATAGTAAAAAATATAAAAAAATGTGAATTTGTTAGCATCTCCATATTGGTAAAGCCAGTACAAGTGACTTTAAGTGAGAAATGGGTGAAGAAAAAGAACGTGCGTCTATCTGCAGAGTGCTGCTGACACTTGCATTTTAATTTTCATTTTCAAAATAATTCCAAAAGGAGGTGAATGACAAGGGATGTGAGTTCAATAAATACTTTCAAGAGCTGTTCCACCCATGTTCATGTTATTTATCTTCTCTAACCTGTGACTCCTTTCTGGAGCTGTTTATTCAGGGTTTTGGTGGGTTGGTTTGTTTGGGGTTTTTTGTGGTTTTTGGTTTTTTGGGTTTTTTTTGAGATGATGAAAAATACTGGCTGGATGGGGAAACAATAAACTCCCACTGCCTAACTTAATTTGTGGGAGCTTTCCTCTGCACAGCTGCAAGAGATTACATTTTTCACTCCTTAGCCTTATTGCAAAAAATAAAAGACTTTGAGATAAAAGACTTTGGAAAAATGGAGAAAATGGAAGTGAGCTCAGAATCTACAAGGAATAGCATTTCCCGTCAAAGCAGTGTTTTGTGCACTGTGTTGCCCTTGGTCATGGTAGCTGCCTGCTTGACATTGATCACGTTACTTCAGATTATTAAATGTAGGAGTCTCAGAAAATAGAACATGTGGAGCTCTTGCTTCTTGAAGTGTTTAGTCTTGCAAAATAAATCCTCCAGTCAGATGTTACAGAAAGTTTCTAAAGCAGTGTTTTTCTCTAAAGAAGAAAGAAGTATCACTTCAGTCAGCAGATCTGCAGCTGGTACTTCTTCAGTCCTGTCCTGGTTTAGTAACAGTAACCATTATGTCCCTTTGGGTGAAGAGAAGTGAGTTTGATGCTCTTTGGATCGTGCCTTAGGGACCCAATTACACGAAACACCGAGCAACCTCAAGTCCCACGGAAATCAGTCTGAGGTTGAAGTACTTGATGTTTTGTCTGATCGGATGGCAGCACCATTAACTAAACGCAAAGTGCAGATTTGAGTTTTGCTCTTTTTGTATTATTGCTGCTAATGGCAGTCAAATAAAAGGCAAATAGTACAAAATTCATTTTGAGATTCTCTATTTTTATCATCAGAATGGCCCAAAATGAGCTCATCTTGCCTTCCAGTACCTACATTGGGTTTTAGGAATTAGCAGCAAAGAAAACTCATGCTGCTCTTTCTACAAAGTGCATTCATTTGCTTCTGACTTATGCAAGCATAAATTTCCTGTGATACTTCCACAGTCTTTTGTCAGAGGTGGGTGAAAGTGTTGAATTTGGAGCCTATTGAGGCAGTTTACTTCAATTTGTATGTTTTGAAGAAGTTACTGTTTTGGTTAAATTGCTGAGCTCTTAATTTTTTAGTAGATGCTGAAGCATGAAGTACATGCTGTATTATATGTGTTTTTAAATTATTCATAGTACCCTCTCTGTTAATTACTTACGTTTCCTGATTCTTTAGAGTACAATGTACCCCCTTGAGTGTTTGTCTTCTACTGACCTGAACCAGAACACTGATCCCTCAAACAGCGTGTGCTGAGCACGTCATAAATATTTCAAGCCTCAGGCCTATAGGCACACCTTAGTTCTTGAGCAGACCTATTAGACTGAAATTGTATGAAACATGAATGTTACTTTTCTATGATGAGTTCTGCTCCACAGCACGACGGGTAGTGATTAAAAAAAAAAAAAAAAGGTAGTGTTTAAAATAATGAGAACATTGCTTTGCAAAGTTTTTTCATCATGTCACCTCAGTGGGTCTACAGTGTAATGGTTCCTCATTCAAAGGAGATACAGGGCTACTGTTGTGTCTATGCATCCTATTGGGGTCAAGTTTAGTGGTAGTTCACCTTAAGGGTTTTTTAATTAAGCAATGCTTTAAGAGAGTATCAGGAAGTTACAATTCAGAAAACTAGAAATGAAATTATTTCTAGCAATGGCCAATGAGAAATATTAAGCATATTAGTATGTTTTGCATGAGAATTCCAAAACTGAATTGATTTTTTTCTTTCCTACTTAAAGGAAGAGCCAAGGCTGGATGTTCTGATAAATAATGCAGGGGTATTCCAGTGTCCGTACATGAAGACAGAGGATGGGTTTGAGATGCAGTTTGGTGTAAACCACTTGGGTCACTTCTTGCTCACCAACCTTCTTCTGGGCCTCCTCAAAAATTCTGCTCCGAGCAGGATTGTTGTAGTGTCCTCAAAGCTTTACAAATACGGAGAGATCAACTTTGAAGACTTGAACAGTGAAATAAGTTACAATAAAAGCTTTTGTTACAGTCGGAGTAAACTGGCTAACATATTATTTGCAAGGGAGCTAGCCCGTCGGTTGGAAGGGACAGGAGTCACCGTCAATTCACTTCACCCTGGGATTGTCAGAACAAATCTGGGGAGATATGTGAATATTCCTTTGCTGGCCAAACCCCTATTCAACTTGGTGTCATGGGCTTTCTTCAAAACGCCTCTGGAAGGGGCCCAAACTTCTATTTATTTGGCCTCTTCTCCTGATGTCGAAGGCGTGTCAGGAAAATATTTTGGGGACTGCAAAGAGGAAGAACTTCTGCCCAAAGCCATGGATGACTTGGTTGCAAGAAAGTTGTGGGACATCAGTGAAGTGATGGTTGGCTTATTGAAATAAGTGCCAGGGGGTATCTGCTAGGAGAATGCAGATGACTATGCAATACGTATTTGCGACACTTTAAATGCTGTGGGAATACAGATTACTTTGCTCGATAAGTATTAAATAGAGGAGTGATTTATGCTGGAACTCTATTTTGAAATAAAGGACAGTCTTTATTTAATAAAGATTAAGAAAAGCCTGAAATAAAGTTTGAGGGTGTGAATATAATTTCTGGTTAAATCTGCTTGGAAACTCATGTTTAAAAAATAAAAATTAAACAAAACTGTGTTTTGCAATATATATGCATATTTGTCATGTTCCACTACTTGTAGTTGGGATGAACAATGCAGGGTACTGATGGTGAAACACTTGTCCTGTAAAAAGGTTTTGAAAATAGATCCTAATAATAATAATTATAGGATTGTGATTTTTTTTTTGAGTCATCACAATGAAAAGTGGAATGAGCAGTTTTACTGATACCTTACACTGTAACCATTGAGGCCTCTGAGTGCTGTTCAGAGACTTGTCAGCCCCATGGTTCAGTGAACAAAGCTTTGAGCCGTTTACAGTCTAGCTGTGAAGCACAAAGTCAACGTTTTCGAGTGGTGTTGCTGCTATTCAGTGAGTAAATACACTTGGTTGTGCAAGCTGTATTTTTATTTTCATGTGTACTGAACTTGCTATTTCTTGATATGCAGACACCTTGGGTTTCATTAAAAATGTGGTTGACAGATGTATTATGATTTTGGTAGGGCTTTGCATGTCAGGAATTGTGTGCAGACAAAGTTCACAAGACCTCACCCAGATTAGACTGAAGAGAATATGCTTTTCAGTATGTGTTTGGCTTGACTGATGGCACTTTAACTAAGTAATAGGATTAGCTAAGTCTGGCTAATGCAGCTTACTGAATATTCTTTAATAAAAATCTTTTAAAAAAAAAGACTTGGCCTTCATTCTTTCAGTGTGGAAGAGATATCAGAAACCAGCAGTCTTGATACAGTGGCCTTGTTGCAAAGCAGAAGATTCACCTCTATTGATTTAGGGAGCCTGTCAGGTAGGGTTGGTAGAAATAAAATGGGCTCCAAATAAAATGCATGGGTATTAGGTGAAGCTGTACTGATATATTCTTTTTTAATTCATATATCTTAGGGGTTCACACTGACATTTGGTTTTCTCTACATGAATAAAATGATTAGCAGTTATGTCAAGATACATAGAATAAATATGGAAGACTGATTTGAAAGCTATCTTAATAAATATTACTGGAAGGAGCAACAATAATGATGTATTCAGTTGATCCTTGTTACCTACTTAAAAATACATATCGGTTCTGCTCTTAAGGTAGCAACCAACCAAATTTTTGAGATTCTTTCTCTGGTCATTTACTCAGACTCTCAGGATATTTTAACTTCTACACAGTGGAGTGGACCTGATCTATCCTTGCCCTTCACCAGCAGGACTGTGCTGTGGGTGAGTGATGTGGGGGGAAGGGGGCATTCCAGAAAATAACACGGCAAGCTACAAAACGGAACAGTTTCTGAAGGTCTTGTAACACGTTGAGCATGTTGAACATGCTTGGAGAAGATTCTGCTTTGATCTTCAAGTGTTGCGTTTCACATTTTCAATCTTAATACTTGTAAACAGCTGCACGCGGCACCTTTAAACAGCTGGCTAAAGAATGAAAAGTTCATTAATGTGAACTATGTAAAGAAGTTCAAACCAAACTCAGCTTTGTGTTTTCAATACTACTGTAGCTCCACTAAATGGAACGCTACTGTATTGTTTCACTGCTGCAAGATGTGTATACCTCTGATACGTGTAGATGGCTAGTCTGGAAAATACTGTAGTAAAGAACTGCCCTGAAACTGAAGAGTGAAAAAATATATAATTTTTCAGACTGTGTGACCACCAGAGGCTGTGCTCTTGCCTTTGAAACAGCAAAGGTGGATTTGTACTGGAATAAGAGATGTGGAATAGGAAGTACCAGCCGTGTAGTATGGCAGCGTAACATGGAATGCTCCATATATCTATCAGGTGTTTCTTTTGAAACATTGTGGAAGTGAAAGCCATTGTCAGAAAGGGATTGCGTTCCTTCAGTCATACCTAGATTACAGCCCTTGTTTCAGAGTAGGACAGTGATCACGATACCCTCAATGGAATATTAATGAATGAATATTGCCTGAAAGCAATTTGAAAGGATGGATTGTTAAGAACTTACCAAAAGGTAAGCTTTTTTCAACATCTGAAATAAGTAAAACTTGTCACTTTTGAGGTTGAATGTAATTTAACGTTTTTGGACCAGTAAGCTTTGATTACTTTCTTGAGACTGCTATTAATGTTCGTTTATGTGATACCTTAGTAGCATCTAGGAACTGGAGACCTCATAGATCTACAGGTCTTGCAAAATATAAGTGCAAAACCAAAGAGGAGCCTTTATTTCAACAAGCAGTAATGCTGGCTTGAGCTAGGTTAGAACCAAGCATTTTGGCAAAAGAAGTATTGCTACTCTAGTGGATTTTAGTTAGCTCAGATTCATGTGTATGAGGATTTGAGGACTGTTTGCTGAATGTCTCCTCTTTGAGCTAGTAGAGGATGCTCCGAGAGGAGATTGGCACCTTCATACTTCACCCCATTATTACAGTGCCTCCAGAAAGACATGGCAAGCTCTGTATGTTACTATTGTATAAATAATAAAATAAAAATAAAATTCCCAGAGAAGTTGTGGATGCCCCATCGCTGGAGGTGTTCACGACCAGGCTGGATGGGGCTTTGAGCAACCTGGTATAAGGGGAGGTGTCCCTGCCCAGGGCAGGGTGGTTGGAACTTGATGATCTTTGAGGTCTCTTGCAATGCGATCCGTTCTGTGATTCTCTGAATCTGGATCAAGAACATGCAGCCAAAACCAGGATGCATTCCAGATGTCTCCTTCCACCAGCACCACCATATGAACACCACCACCCTTAAACTTATTTCCCGTGAAGTATTAAACTTGTTAAAAACAAGGGGTGAAAGAGGCAGACAGTACCAGGGATAGCATGTAAAGGCCATGGAAATCAGTTTTCATCAGAAAGTACAGACACTGATCATGTTGCTAGCAAGTACATCATTAATATCCAAGGATACCCACAGCTGAGGTCAAGACCTCGTTGGTGTCAGTGATAAGCATCAATGTTGTGAAGCAACTCTTTCCAAAGCCAAAATGTACCTTTAGCTAGCTTACATAAATTGTTAGAATTTGAGCACTGATTCCAGGTCACCAGCAGTGTTGGACCAGTGCTCCGGGTCTGTGCCCTGGAGATTTAAAAACTGGCTGGGATGTGACCAGGGCACAGTGACTCCTGAGACAGTACCCCTTGCCCTTCTGCTTTTCATGGGGGAAATGCCTCTGCCCTGCCACAGCTGAGAGGTGGAGCGTCACAGCAGCAATTAACTTTCATTATTTACAAACTTATTCCTCTGGAACCTTCAGCCAGGCTCAGCAATGAGAGGAAATGCTTCCGAAAGGCCAGTTTTCTCAGTGGTCGCATTTTGTATGGCAACGAGATCGCAGGGTAACTGTACTCTGAAAGGGTATGAGGGTGTATGTGTGTAGACACATGTGCAGGTGGAATTTAATTTAATCCCTCATTTTAAAAGACAGATGGGAAGAGCTGTCAAGGACTGACGGGAGTGGATGAGGGATGAGGAGAGCTGGCTGTTAGCACGGGAGTGACTCCTGCCACCTGTGCTGCTGTGGTACGTGGTGAGACACTGGTCTTGGGGGCAGATCTGTTGGACTTGAGCTTGGTTGCTTAGAGTTGCATCCAGGTAGATGTACCCAACATCTGCTTTTGCAGCCGGAGAACAGATGGGCATGTCTGAGGGGAAGAAACATCTCCAGGTAACAGTTGAGAAACAGGCTTCAAGTGTCTTAAGGGATGTATTTTTTAACTGCTTCAGCATAATTTATTCATCTTTGGCTGTGGTGCTTTTGAAAGTGCCTCTGTAACCAACTTGCCTCATGGATAGCCCAAGAGTTTGAGAAAGAAATAATTTCCTTTTTTAAAAAAAAAAAAAAACAACACCCTTCCTTTATTTCTTTTGATTCTCGGTCCCAGAGCCTAGCTGTAACCTCCCTGCACCATGTGGCTGTTACAGCTGAGCTCTCTGCAAGTGAACTAAATTGTAGTTGCATGTATTTATTTTACATGCCACATCTGTTTAAGTCAAGGGAGACTTATGTACATTCAAACAAAAAGTACTCTGAATCTGTCACCAATTTACCTTCCTTACCTGGCCACAACGGCCAGCATCTGTCCCCAGGCAAAGGGACAAGGCCGCTCTTTCAGTTACTACAGGCAACGCAGCAGGAGAGCTTATAAACCCAGCGGGGGTTCTGCAGTAAAAATTCTCCATCTTAATGAGATAAATGATCAGTTTTTCCATGACGCAATAAAACCAGAAGTATTTAAACTCTCCTCTCTTTCTTCAGCAGTTGCCTGGTTTGCCTAAGCTTCCTACTAAGTGAACGCCTCACAGGCTTCAAAGGCTGAGCCCTGCGAATGTGTGGTGTGATTATGCTTTTGCTGAAAAATGTGGATAATTCCCACTTCAAGCACACTTAATTTCTTTCCACCTCAGGCTATAAGGAAAATAAACAACTTGCAAGAGTCATACAAATAATTTTAAAATGGGAGGCCTGTTCCCTTTTTCACATAACTTTTTCCAAACTAATCACTTAGAAAGTAATTGACTTGCAAAACGATCCAGGAGGCCTCCACAGCTGAATTATTATTTTTGATCTGTCCCAGAATGGTGCTGCTATTTCTCATAACAGAAAATGACGACCTCCCTCTAGACTTTTTACTTACCGCTGTAGCTACCACTAGCAGCCTCACACCTGTCGTAACTGGATTCAGATCAGAGAAATTAATTTGAATATTTAATTGATTCCAAATGTCTTATGTAACATGGAGAAAGGAGTGCTTTCCTAATTGCCTTTTTGGCTGGAGTCTTGCACACTGACCACCTAACAAGGTTGATGGCCCTTTCCTTTTACATTTAAGAATGATCACTTTTCAGGTAATATGAACAAAAAAATAATCTGGATAGGGAAAGAATTGATAGTTCATTTGCCATGAATAATTCAGGAGGCTGTCACATGCTTGAAGTCTATAATAATCACTTTAGCAAGGTACCGAGCATTTTTTTGCCATCTGCTTTGTGGCCAAAGCAAGCAGTCTGAAATCCTGGTCCCACTAAAAACGTTAAGAGTCAGACACCTAAATATTTTTGCTGATCTTGATCTCCTGGCTTTAGGTTTGGGCAGCGGGACTCTTACAGCCATCTGGGTGATGGTTCTTTAAAGCTTGATGAATGAGGCTTTATGCATTTCTGTGTATGTGTGGCATTTTAAAAAAGTACTTCACAAATTAGAGTGTGTGGGTCTGGTGGTGCTATGTATATAAATCCTGCAACATACTCCAGAAATGTATGTGTTTTTTCCCCCAAAATATGTAAGCCCATCTCTGCAATTTTTGGCATATTTGTTAGTTTGCCTCTTGGACTTCAGTTTGGTGATGAGTGGTGTTATTTTAGTTTACCTAGATAAAATCCTGTTGCAACCTGTCCCAACAGGCAGGGGACTGTGTCCTGGACCCCTCCTAAGTCACTGCATGTCCATCCACTTTCCAAATCCCATCTGCCCTCGAGACAAGCAATGTCAGGGTCTTTCTAGTTGCTTCGAGAAAGAGGTCATGAATAGCATCTGCAGAAAGGCAAGTGACAGACCTGGACGCGCAGAACCCACATGCACTGCAACTAGTAGGTTTAGTATAATTTTGTATACTCATTCATGTGGGAGAACAAGGTGTTAACAGGATTGTGGAAGAAGCAGAGACCAGAAGAAGAAGCAGGGACATTGGCAGAAGATGGCCCATGACCATCTCCAGACCTGT